AGAACTGTTGTTGGAGTCACTGTCACTGTCAGCAACATCTATTTATTTGCACAGCATCTCCAGGCAAAAGACAATGTTCCCAGTAAAGCAGCAGAATCCTATGAACAGTGAGACCCTTACATGGATAATCATCTACTCTGAAGTTTCCAAACAACCTTAGTATCAGAAATTACACTTTAGTTTGTGCATTTCTCTCTGCTTCTGAGTTCATATGCACAGCACAGGTGCATCCCAGTACCATACCAAGGTATGAAATCCATCAGCTCCCATCCAGGCTCTTGTTTTCACAAGAGCCATTTGGCTCTGACTAAGAAAATAGAGTATTTCAGGCAGTCACATGTGAACTTTGCACATATGCAGACCAAAACTGATAATTTTGAAATAAACAATCATAAGGTTCCTTTCTTTGCCATTTATGAAACTGCCAAATGAAATTCCTGAAAACAAGAATGCTCTAGGGACTTAGCACTGTTAAATACAAATAGCTACGTTTAGAAGAAACATGTTCTCAGCAGAAGTTGAGCAGCGAACTTCAGAAAAACAAAGAGAGTTACAATATTCCATGGAAGTAGTGTTATAAAGTATACTTGAACTGCAGCACAGCTCTAACCCTTCACAAAATTCGCAGAGGATCTAAGAACAATTCTGGTAATAAAAGGGAGTCCTGTGTTTGTCTGTAACCTGGCTAGAAAAGCTTATCATAAGGACACAGACACAGCAGATGTACCAATCACATACTTCAGGAATGGGGTTAAATACTCTTCCATAGAACAGATTTTTACAGGCAACGTTGCATACATTTTCCATAGAAAAAATTATTCTTGCTGTCCAAGGAGGGTGGGTACACCAGAAAGGAGCAGAGTGACACGTACGTGGGATTTGGAAATAATGTATGACAAGTACCTCACAAAATTCCCTTTTTTTTTTTTCCAAATGGAAAAATGTAGTTTTTTCTATAATTTACAATCTTAGTAACTCAAAGAGATGGTGCTTCTAAAACTTTCCAAGAAAGGTTAAGGAGTGCCCTACAGACTGCCTCACACTTCATCTTGATAAGGATGACTCTCACCCTTTAAAAGCTTCAAAACTTCTGCACAAAAAATCAGACTGCTAAAACAATTCACTTTGATTTGCAGTCAACAGGTTATACTAAGTTCATATCCCCTCATATTCCCAGTACTTAGAATGTTTGGACCACAACAGTATCTCTTATACAGGGAATTCTGCTTATATGTTATCAATTTATCACAACCTGAATTCACTATTAAGATTAATTCTGCATTTTTTAGATGACTACTAAAATAAGCTTTTTAGTCCCACAATTCCTGCAGTAGTATTATCTATGACATTAATGAACATCAGCTACAACAAAAGGTTAAAAAAAAAAGTTACTCACTTGCTCCTATTTTTTTCTGATCTGGCTCTTTTTCAGGAGAAGAACAAGGTGGTAATATTGAATTTTGTTCTTTGAAGAGCAGTGGGGTTGATGCTAGATGACTGTATGTTGAGGGTTTTGTCCTTGGAGTTTTAAAAGCTGTTTGATCAAGCCAGCCAGAGGGCCCATCAACCTCTGCGAACGATTTGGGCTCATATGGGGGTGCTTCTGCACTGAGTTCTTCAAACCAATTAAGACTGATAGGCCCTAAATCTACGAAGGAAAACAGATAGAAAACTACATAAAAACGAAAAAGGTTCCTCCATGGAGGATGTGAAAATACACCAGGCATTTAAATGCTAACTGCAAAACACAACGTTCCTTCCACTGCCATACTTCTGGTTTGCTTGTTTCTAGATGGCTTTGAACTCTGATACCCACAAAATATAAAGGGATATCTGCCCAAATTCTCAGACCATTAACAAAATAACTGAAGGACCAGAAAAATATCCAGTTTGTTTAAAATCATGAGTATACTCTGACTTTTAGTTTCTCTTTCTTTGCTCAGAGTGGCAAGTCAAACAGGTTCCTTTTAAAATTTAAAATAACTACCACAGATGTCTCAAGCAAAAGACTAAGCCTGGTCTACATGTGGGTATGTATAGAGGTGACAACTCTAATAAAGCAAGTACAAAAAGTAACTAAGCATATATAATGGAAAAAAACTACAAATAAAAATTTGAAGAAATCTAGGTATCAGGAAATACAGGTTTGGGGCAAGAACAGCAGCTAACAACTTGCAGCAAGCTTTCCTGTGAAATATATAGCAAACATGTATAAAATATTGGTGCCCAGAAAGCAATCGTAGTAAGAGTTATTTACTTTAGATAAGCTGTACCTGATTCACTGCAGTGTGCCTTAAATATTTCAAAGAAAGTTGGTCTTTCCACAGGTTTGCAAGCCATTTTCTTATCCATTACATTACGGGAACAGTTGAAAAGCCTGAGAAGAAATAAAACACTTGCATACACTGCTGTTTGAATATCTCAGGCTGGCTTTCCCGCATTTTGTGGTGTGCCACAGCCCAGCTTGTTTAGCTTTGACTGTGATGTGAGCATTCAAACACCACAATGATGAACATGGTGGGAAAAAAGCAGACAAGAGCATAGGGAATTATACCAGAGATAATGAAAACACTCAGCAAACACACAACACGATGGAATGGGCAGAACACTTCTGAGGTATTTTAAACACAAACCAAACCCCACACTCACTACAACGTGTTAGGATGGAATATGTACTATCACACATATACTGCAACAACCACTACAACTTACATGTCAAGAATTTGATTCAAAGTTGCCTTCAAGTGGAGCAGACACTGTCAGTTTCACGGTTCTATTAAAAAAAACATATATAATAAGCCCATAGTGAGACTTCACCGTTTAACACATCTATGCTTTCCCTGTAAAACAGTAAACCCTGTTTCCCACACGATGGCCGTGTTACACACGGTGCCCATCAAAACAATGGGAAAAACGGGCGCTTTAAAGTAGGGTACGGGCTGCATTACGACAGAACACCGAGAAACTTAACAGTGCCTCAGAAGTACATTTTATAAAGTGCGATTTGCCCAGTCCGCGCTGCTTTCCGTGAGAGGAAGCTGCTCCCGGGCAATGAACACGCACGGAGCGCGGCCTGTGCGGCCCCGTCGGGTCACCGCGGGGTCTCCGGGGCCAGGCCCAAACCCCGCTTCCCCTCAGCGCGTCACACCCTGACTGCGGACCCCCGGCGGGCTGTGAGGAGAGGGAGGGACGCCCGAGGGGCGGCAGTGACACCGCCAGGGCACAGCGCAGGGCCGAGCCACACGCGGGGCCGTTACCTGCCGGCGGCGCCTCGGGCGGGGCGGCGGCCGCAGCATCGCCTCATGCAGGGGAGCGGGGCGGGCGGGGAAGGCGGCGGGGGATGGATGAGGGGGCAGCGCAGAGCCCCAGCCCGGCCGTCCCCTTCGAAGCTTGGCGCCAACACAGCCCCGCGCCTGCGCAGCGGAAGCATCCGCCGCAGCCGCCTTCCGCCGCAGCCACCCCCGGCAAGAGGCGGCGAACCGGCCCCGCCTCGGCCTGCCCCGCACGGGGCCCGGCATTGCACCGGGGGACGCGCGGTGTCCGCCGTAAGGGCTGCCCCGCCGTGGCGGACTCCGCACAGAACAGAAACGGTGCCCTCAGCCGGGATGGCCGCCAGCAGCTTCACTAACGCGTGTAGAGGCGAGGGGATGATGGATCCACATCCAGCGCTGACACCGCCCGCGTTGCTGCGCAACGGCAGCTAACAGCGAGCTCCCGGGAACGGGCTCCGCAAGGCTCCCTGCGGCAGGGCCCTGGGCACGGGAACTGTGCAAACCTCAGACTCGGCTTCTCCGGTGCTTCTGTAGGCCTTGACACATGAAATGGTTGTTGACGTTCCAATAAAGAGAATGTTAATATCCTCCACATACATGTCTATTCCCTCTTTGTCTCTTGATTTTGGCGGTGGAACAACTTCAAGATGCGTGAACACTCTCCCTACCACCAACTTTGAGTTTACCATCTTCATGTTGTATGTTCATCTGCTCTTGTGCCATAAAGGGGTTTCTTCCTACCTCTCCACAGAAGTCCTTATGTTGCAGTTTTATCACATCACCTGCTTAATCATTAGTCACTTTCATTAGTTTCTTGTCCTACAATTATTTTCCATATCCCTTTTAACTTCTAACCCTGCAGTGTTCAAATGATGACATGTAGTTTGCAATATGATTTCCATCCCCATTTCCAAAGCACCTAAAAAACTTAAGTCTTTTTGCAGCCACACTGCAATCATTAAGTTTTAACTTGTCTATATCAATACCCTATTTTTGCTTTGATACTGACAGTGCTTTGAAAACCCAAATGCAATGTTGGAGCCTTGAGACATGTTTCTTTTAATTATGATGAATGTGTTTCCTGAATCTTAACCTCTTCATGCCCTGTAAAAATGCTGTTTCTTACTGATTTATCTCACACACTTGAGAGTGTCAGATGCACTGTGAACGTTTAAGAACATAATCCCTATCAGGTTTTCTCTAGCCTCTCTCTTGCTGGCCCATTGAATTTTATAAAGTAATGCATTTATAAAGATGGTGAGGAGTCATACAAAGAAAGGATTTCACATCACTGCAGTTCCAGGGATTTAAGGGTTCTCCAGTCTCTAAAGGCTTCCATACAGAGTTTGGATGATTTAATTACATTATTTTAACTATATTACCATAAAATTGAACTAAAGTGATATAATTATGGAAGAAGGACTATTAGTCTATTATGTGTGTGCTTTTATTACTTGCTTGTATTAACACTTATTTAATATATAGATATTAAGCCACTACTTATTTCATATACAGTTTGTATACAGGAGTGTATTCCATCTTTTCCTAAAACAGTTGATAGAAAAAGTTCCAAGTAGATAATCCCCAAATAATGGTACAATGGGGATGCACTGACCTTTTAATACCAGTAAAGACTTCTTTTCAGAGATGTAATTGCCTGAATTCTTTGCTAAGCTCTCCGAGGGACACACAATTTATCGGGACTCTGTTAACAGTTTCCCAAACCCCATTTTCCTTCTTTTAAGACCATGAGCACAAGGAACTGTGAGCAAGCAAGCTTCTCGCTATGCAGGCCGCGGTTTTCCCATCTGTGCCTGGATGACATCTCTCCATCATTAGAGCCCGGCACAGCCGGCCGGCCTTCCCTGGCCATCAGCCCCCCCTCACCCCCAGCTGCCCCCACTTTCGCCATCAATTAGCAACCATTAGCTCCCCAGGTAGGATAAAAGCAGGGCAGGGAGGCAGGTAGGGCTAGCCCTTCAGCAGCGATAATCATGGACAGCTTCGTCTGCTCTCCCATCGGCACGTACCAGAACTTCAGGAGCAGCCCCGCGTTCGGCCGCGGCTGGGACGCGGCGGCCAAGCAGTCCAGCTGGAAGCCGAGCAAGAGCGGCGGCATCAGCCCCTTCCTCGGCGGGCCCTTCACGCCGCTGCCCTCCGACTACCTGGACAGCTACCGGCGGGCGCAGCTCCAGGCGCTGCTGTCGCAGGTGAGCCCCGCGCTGGCGCCGCGGCCGCGCCGGGCCAGCACGAAGGAGGCGGCGGTGCAGGTGAGCCCGCGGGCCGACGTGGCCGTGCAGTGCTCGCTGGGGCCGCGCACGCTGCCGCCCGCCCGGGCCTTCAGCCCCGCCGCCCTGCGCGCCCCGGGACGCCTCGCCCTCTACTCACCCGTGCCCGACCGCCTCCTCTTCGCGCCGCCCGACGCCGCGCCGCTCCCGGAGAAGGCAGCACCGACCGAGGAGACCCCAGCGGCGGACGGCGGCCAAGAGCGCCCGGCGGGGGCCGCGCTGCCGCCGCGCCAGGAGCCGGTGGGGACGCGGCGGGAGGAAACCGCGGCTCCCAGGCAGAGAGCTGCCTTCCAGGTGCGCCGGGTTGGGGCAGCGGTGAGCCCGCAACAGGGAAGGCAGAAATCACCTCATGGGCAGCACGGTAGTCCCCGTCCTGCCCCGGGCAGGCTCTGTCTCCCCTAGAGCAGAAGAGCCTCTAGCCTGTGAAAACCCACGCGTATGGATCAAAGCGTGTCACAGTGGTTTGGGTTGGAAGGGACCTTAAAGTTGCAACCTCCCTTCCATGGGTGTGGATGCCACACGCTAGACTCTGTTTCTCAGAGGCCCGTTCAATACAGCTTCAAATATTTCCATATGGCTTCCTGGGCAACCTTTTTCAGTGCCTCACCATCCTCGGGGAGTAGCAGTGAGGGAGCTGGGCTAGGTGCTCTGGGGGTGCTGGACGATGCTCAGTGAACTCTGTCTCTGCAGTTCTTGGAGCAGAAGTATGGCTATTTCCACTGCAAAGACTGCAAGACCAGATGGGAGAGTGCTTACGTGTGGTGCATTTCTGGAAGCAACAAGGTAGTTAACAACTAATTTCTTTTCTCCTTAGACTTGTAAGAATGCCCTAAAATATCTGAAAAATCAGATGTTCCGGCACAAATTTAGGTACTTGTATAGAACATGTCAAGTAAGTCTCTATACTAACAGAGCTTGCCATTTCTTCAGGTGTATTTCAAGCAGCTCTGTCGCAAATGCCAAAAGGGCTTCAATCCCTATAGAGTGGAAACAATCCAGTGCCAGGTAAGTTAATTGTACTCCATTAAGACTGTCAGATGTTGTCATATACACTAATTCTATTGTGGAGTTTGATATTGACTTTACCTGGAAGAAAACTTGATTTCATGAAAATACTAGGAACGGTTATTTGGGAGAAGTGTCTTGGAGTAGGCCTCCCTCCTCCCATAGATGGCTTACGTAAACAGTTTTCATATAGTATTATGGCTTGCTACATGTATGGTAAGGTTTTGTGCTTCTAGGTGAGAATGCTCTTGTACCCTAAATCCAGGGTTTTTACCACAAGAGCTCTTAAGTACATCAGCCCCAATGTGTTGCTGTGATTAAGGAAAATCAAATGTTAGTCTAACATGAAGTGCATCCTCTTTGATCTACTACTAACATGTCTTTGTTTCTTAAGGTCTGTTCCAAGACCCGTTGCTCTTGCCCTCAGAGGAAGAGACATATTGATCTCAAGAGGCCTCATCGTCAAGAACTCTGTGGCCGCTGCAGAGGCAAAAGGCTGTCCTGTGATAGCACTTACAGCTTCAAATACATTGTCTGATCCGTGTGCCCTATTCTGTCTTGTGCTTTGCACTTTGTCTATTGCAATGTTTTGATTTAAGGCTTTTGACCTGGCATTGGATAATGGATGAAGACTTTGGTATTATTGTAAAGTATAATAACTTAAAGTATGTAATATCACTGTATATATGCTGTAAATAAAGTTCAATAAAAGTTTGCACTAGTTTGATACCCCTTAGTTTCAATCTTCTTGGCTGAAAGAGGAAAGTATATCTGTACAGAAGTAACCCATTTGATTTCCTAAAGATAGTAGACTTTATTTTGAAGTCTTCAGGGAATGCTAAGATTCAAGCTACAATAGCAAGTTTTTTTTCCTTCAGTCACTCAAACTAAACTGGGGTGGAAGATGCAAATATTCTGGAGCATAACGTCTGATGTAAATGCAAATCTGTCTCCCCCTGCCTCTGCCAAATGTATATCTAAAAAGCACAGCTGCTTGGTAATCAAAGACTATCAGCCAGGACAAGACTATGGCTGTAAAATAGGAGGGATAAAGGGTATAAGCTACCCGTGTTTGAAAGGAGGAAGGGGAAAAAACTTTTGAATGGCAGCATCTGTGACAGTGTAAAAAATACTCTTTAGGGTAGAAGTTCAGAGGCTTTTATAGTCAGTGTAAGACCAATGAAGCTATTTTTGCTGTTGTAGTCTTCCATGCTGATTTGTGAGGATTTTTTTGTCAGGCTGTAGCTGCATGTCTCTCTCTTTTTCAATGAATGGTTTCAGCATAAACCAGGAGATAAGTATCTTTTGGGGGGCTGCTTTCCATTTTACCATATGCAACAGTATTGATTCAGACAAGAACACAATTTCCACAACAAGCATATACTGTGTTGTGACTATATATATGACTTTTATACTTTAGTTAAATGGATGAACTGATCCAAATTTCAAAGTTACTTCACAAAAACAGTTAAGTGTATTTACAGCATGAATAAGTTACATAGTTGTCAGAATAAAAGTCTCAGATGTGCAACAGATTTACATGCATACATTTAACACTAGACAGCAGTTAAATGTAAGAAAAACCATAAAGTTATGACTTTATATATACATTACAAATAAAATAAGACCTCTCTTTAAAGAAACTTAACATGAGAACTTGCATTTCACGTTAATATTTTTACTTTTTATACTCAAAATTTGTATTAAATAAAAATATGCATGCTTAACAGTTCAAAAGATTTGACTCTGTGATGGGACTTTCTCCTACAAAATGGCAAGTTAAATTAGATCAACCATTCTTTAACAGTATAAATATATTCATAAAAGCAAACCTCTAGTAAAAAGCAGCCAAGGTCCTTAATAAAAAAAAAAAGAAAATCTACCAAGATCTTTCATGATCCTTGGGGAGGGCCTAAGAACAGACCTCTGCAATATGATCCAGTACCTTCAGAGACAGTAGCCTAGTAGCATTAGGAAATGTACTTCATAGCAGCTCATTGTTTTAAGATACAGTAATCATATTCAAATTACAGTGTACATTAAATTATAGTTTGTTTCATAAACACAGGCTCTCAGCTTTTGACCAACAAGTTTGTGAGATTCCGTGGCCAGCTTCATTCTGCCCATCTTTCACTCAACTAAACAAGAAAAAAAAAAAAAAGGGAAAAATGTACAAGGTTTGTTTTTTTAACAAAAAATACTATTTTGTGAAGGAAACATTGCACTTTTGCCAACCAAAAATTAATTTGCTATAAAGGAAGTATTGTTCAGTGTAGTAGGCTTTGGTATGCAATGGAAGTCACTTCTTCAGTAGTGAGTTGCAGTTGCTCAGTGAAATGCTAACTGGTTTTTGTGCAACACAGAACAAAGGATGTTGTCCCAGGTGCTCTATGCTACCTCTGTCCTTACAGTATTGCTACGTGTTTGAAGTTCAGCCCATCGCTTTTTAGAGGAAATCCTAACTGTAACAAGAGTGAGTACAGTTTGACCAAACCTTTGTAAGGCTGAGAAGACATCGAGCCACCTCACTCCCACAGGGCAGCACTCCCAGCTTGAAAGGGGGCCCGCGGGTCCTGTCAGAGACTTGTGCCAGAAACGCTGGAGTCTGGAAGAAAAGTATTGATGACCCGGTAGCTCTGAGCTCTGCGAATCATGTCGCGGATCTCTATGTTCAGTTCCATTAATTTGGTGCAGATTTCAGTCAGGCTCTGGTTGGAGCCCACCAGTGCATAGGTGCCCGTCTGACCCAGGGTTTGGTGGCGGAAGTAAATATTCAGTAGTGTCTGGACTTCATCATCAGAGCTACTTCCAAAGATATCATTGGGCCACAAAATCCTGCAATGAAACAGGAAAAGAGCAGGCATTTCATTATGGGTTTATTAGCAGAGAACAGGAGCTATGTGACAGAGATCCCTAAAAGAAGAATGAACTTGCACATGCTTATAAGCCTAAAGCAACTCGCTGTTTTACACCACTCATTTGTTACTCATATTCTGGTATTGGGCACTGAATACACATAAAAGTGCAATTTCCATTATCTAAAAAGCATGCTTAAGAAAACTCATTCAAATAGGTGTAAGTGAAACTGGGCTGAATGTTAGCTCATGCCAATGACATGCACCTGTAAGGAATTAACTCAATAAAAAGATTCTTAAGAGCCTCACAGGACTTTTGATCTACAGAAGGCAATTAAACATCTTAACTGTTGCATGCATATGTTTGATAGTTACTTGTGGCACACCTCTCCAAGAATCAGTGTCAATATCCCCATGTTCCTTGTTGAAACAATTAATTCTGCTGATCCTGTTCATTATGTTTTGTTAGGAAGATAGTAAATCCATACTTTTCTAATAACATGAAAGTCTAATATGAACCATGTAGCAAAACTTACCTGCATTCTCTTATTTGTCTGATGGCTTTAACAAGTTCATTGTTTTTCAAACACTCCAGCATGGACTGAATAGCTGCTTCAGTAGAGTTGAATGTGGGCTCAGATTCTGTTGTCAGAGGCTCAGCTGCGATTGCAGCAGTAGCATCCTTCAGATTTTTCTTCAGCTCACTCAGTTCTCTTGACATATTTAACAGCTGTTCCAAGGAGAAAAATGAGAGATGGGTATTTTCATTCTCCATAAGCCCTACATGGAGTAGGTACTTCCTTACTACTACATTGGATGTACACATTATGGAAAAGACAAGGACATTTCTTGATCTCTGTACAATATAGAGAAAAAGCAAACTACAGGTTTGTTTTTTTTTAACCTTTGTGCATCATTTAACATTATGCTGTAGTTTTGGCTTGCTAAAATGCAGGAGCATATCTAAACAAGCTTTTATTTTTCACCCTTGATACTTTTTTCACATCATAGTGGAAGAGCTGGAGAAAACATGTACTTCTCCTAGCAAGATGTTCATATTCATTTACAAAACACATGCAGCATCTGACATGATTAACAGAAGAAACATATAACGAATGTTATAGATTAAGAAACATATAACGCTTTCTCAGGCTGAAAAATTAATATGGCACAAGATTAATAAATAATTACTAAGTTAATAATTTCCAAGGATTTACTTTATCATGCTCCTACATGCTAAAAATAACCACTGTGACATGAACTAACAATGGAATTTCCTCCAAGTAATAGCTTAGGGCTCCAGCAAAATATGCAGATGTCATGGTGAAATAGCTATTCTTTGTGCAATTGTTTGTACAATAACACAGCCCCACATGGGCTATTTAATGGTGAAATAGCTATTCTTTGTACACTTGTACAATAATATAGCCCCAGTTCCATGGGCTGTATTATTCATAACAATTTAACAAAGTCATAACTATGAAATACATTTACAGAAATCATTTATAAGGAATACAAACTATTTTTAAAACTTGGACTGCCCTAGTAGTAGTAGATGCCTATTGTCCTGTCTTGTCTTAAAAGTGAACAGCCCAGTCACAATGTGAGCCAGCCCTCACAACATACAATTTATTGTATCCTTAAGCTACAATAAATATTCAAACTATTTTTACTCCAACAACACATTTGATAAAACAATTTCTATTTATAGGCCATATCTAAACTACTAGAATATGTCATAAAATACATGTAATAGCTTCAAATTTTATTTTACAAAGCAGAGTGCAGCAACTTCTTCTCCTCAATAGTTTAAAATATATACAGTTTTCTCCTTACCAGGAGAAAAATACACATGGAATGACAAGTTAAATGATAATCATTCAGCTTAAAGTGATCACCTCAAAGAAGTCTCAAATTATTATATATTTTAAGTAACTGCTGAAAATGACTAACAGTACTGTTCTTGTGAAGTTTTTTGTAAGTAAGATTCATGGCTTTATCTAAAAACAAAATGCTGTTTGGGTCAAAGGTGGGAGTGTGCCTGTCAAAATATTTACAGAAAAAGGTTTGTAAATATGACAGAATTAAAAATACAGGACATTAAGGTATTTAGTTGATTATGTATGCCTGCAGATTTATAGTCAGGGTGAAATAGTGGGATCCTTGTTGTTAAATCCAGAGAAAGCAAAAATAAGAACATAAAAATAAAGTGGAATTTTCAGTACAGGACTCTGTAGTTTGTTACATACCTCTGGCATGGAACTCACTTCGTGCACTTGTCCAATAAGTTTACAGTAGGACTGAAAAAGCAACAGCAGCTGGAAGTGCAGTTTGTATAATCTCTGACAGAGCTCCAATTGCTAAGGAAAGATTTGTAGGAGAAGAAACAATTAATAAATATTAGTGAGTTTAGATAACTTTTGATAAAAAACAAAACACATTGAGATAGTTTGTTCTCAAAAACATTGTTTTACTGAAGTATGATCATACACTATTTCAGAAAAGAGTATGATGTCAGCATCAGCCTCTGTTTTGGTTAGCTTCACTGTCTCCAGTTTGCAGCTGGAAAGCAGAGACAGAATATAAGGGAAAGTGACTTCCCTGCACAGAATATGAAACTCCCAAATTTCAGATAAGGTATGGAAATCTAAGAGAGAAGCCATGAAATAGTAGTCCAAGATCAAGGTCAAAGCTCCTGCCTGCTCCTCTGAGGAGAGAGAAACAAAAGTGATAAATTCATTTAGGAGTGAGAAGGAGGAAATGCCAGCCCTGGAACTTAAAACACTGCTTATGGATTTTCCACCATATTAAAGAAACCATACAACAGATGGATAGAGTTTAATTTGTAAGAGGGTATTTGGCTTCTAAGAAG